GTTTCACGATCATTCCACAATGACCCCGTGCAACTGCAAGTTGCAGGGGCGCTGTCCAAAGAAACTGACATCGAGCTGGTCCAGCAAGAATCTAGATGCGAGATGGAGGAGCTTTTGTATTCAAAAGATAAGGAGTCACACGTGCAACTTGTTAGAGACGTGTTGAAAGCCCTCTATAAGAACTGCCTATTTGCAAAGCTGTCCAAGTGTGAATTTCATAAGGAAGAGATGGATTTTCTGGGCTATCAAATTTCTGGGAGGGGCCTGGGCATAGAGCCCCACTAAATTCAAGATGTAATGGAGTGGGAACCCCTCAGACAAGGAGGCAATTACAATCATTCCTTGGGTTCGCCAATTTCTACTGTTCATTCATCCCCAATTTCACCCAGGTGGTCCTAACCCTCACTGACCTATTGAAAACTAAGGGGAAGGACCCCAGAGTGCCAAAATGCTTTTGATAGACTGAAGGCTCTGTTCACCTTTGAGCTGATCCTACAGCACCTGGATGAAAATAAGCCCTTTGTGGTGCAAATGGACACCTCTGTGGCAATGGGGGGGCGATTCTGCAAAGAGATGAGGACGAACCTGCACCCCCTCGCGTATGTGTCCAAGACGTTTTCTAAGTCAGAGAGAAATTGGGCGGTTTGGGATAAAGAAGCAGTGGCCATTAAGATGGCTCTACCTGAAGACATTGGCTGCAGGGGGCTCGGGTGCCGTTTTAAGTGTGGACTGACCATAAGAACTTGGAAGAGTTATGAACCCCCAGGTGCCTGAACGCTAAACAGTTGCAGTGGGCGGAATTCTCCTTCAAGTTCCAATTTATCATTAAGCACCTCCCAGGGAAGTCCAATTTCCTTGCTGACACACTCTCGCGCCTGCCCCAGCATACCAGTCAGCGAGAGGAAATGATTGACTCAATGTTTGCCCCTGCCCAGTTTGGGGGGGGGGGCAGTGCTCACGGGCAGTCAAGCCAAAGCAGAGGGGCCTCTCAGTACTGAACCCTGGCTGAAACGGTTCAAAGCCGCTTTCAGCAATAGTGATAAGGAGGTGGAGAAAGAGGGCAACCTCACCCAGGGGGAAAATGGATGCTGGTACGGCCAACAGAAACTCTTTGTGCCAAGGGCTTTGCATCTTACAAATGGGGCACAACAGCAAACTGGCTGGGCATTTCGGGTACCTGAAAACCCTGCACCTGATACAGAGACAATTTTGGTGGCCACATATGCAGATTGATATCTCTCAATATGTGTCTTCGTGCCAAGTCTGTTTAATGGGGAACCGCAGGGCTGGGAAACTCCCAGGACTGTTGCAGCCTCTGGAAACCCCCGAGAGGCCATGGGCTGTCATTTCCATGGATTTTATAACAGACCTGCCACCCAGCAAAGGGAGGACTGTGATTTGGGTGGTAGTGGACCTTTTTTCAAAACAGGCACATTTCATCCCTTACAAACAGTTGCCTTCGGCTAAAAAATTGGCACAGCTGTTTATGCAGCACATTGCGCAGCTACATTCGATACTCCGGAAGATCATATCTGACAGGGGCCCCCAAGTTGTGGCAGATTTTGGAAAGAACTGTTAAAGTTACTAGGGTGGAGCAAGGGCTCAGCAGTGCCTACCACCCAGAGACTGATGGTCAAATGGAGAGAACTAACCAAGTCCTGCAATAGTTCCTGAGATGCTTCATCAATTACCAACAAGATAACTGGGTGGATTTGCTCCCCTATGCGGAATATAGCTATAACAATTCTGTGCATAGCTCTACAGGAGCCACCCCTTTCAAGTTGGTACATGGCTATGATGGGGGGCCCTTACCCATGGTGGCCTCAGAACCCCCCGGTCCGATGGACTTACAGACTTGGTGGGCTGACTTGACTCAGCAGTGGTCCCTAATCCAGCAAACTCTGGCTAAAGCAAAGGAGGACTATAAGGCCCAAGCAGACAAGGGACGGGCCCCAGAGTGGGACCTTCACCCAGGAGATTCTGCGTACATCTCCACAAAAGAACCTTAGGGGGTTGGTGTGGAAATATGTGGGACCATTTAAGGTTGTGAGAGTCATTAATAAGGTGGCTGTTGAAGTAGACTTCCCAAAGAACATACGACACATCCACCCTGTTTTCCATCTCAGTCTGCTGAAGAAGGATCCATGTCCCTCAACGTGGCAACCTCGTCCAGCAGCTCCCCCTCCCCTAAACGTGGAAGGGGAACTCCACTAGGGGGTGGAAGACGTCAGACTTTAAAATCAGGACCACCTATACTATCTTATTAAATGGTGAGAGTTTGACCCGAGTCATAATAAATGGGTGAGAAGTGATCATGTGAGAGCCCCCCAGCTGGTTCGCACCTTCCATAAACGCTTCCCTCAGAAGCTGGGAGAGTGAGAGTCTTGGGGGGGCAGAATGTCAAACTGGGGGCCTCGTTTGCCATGGGGTCTTATGTCCTGTAACCACTCTGTATCTGGGCTATTAGGGGGGCAGTTGGGGAGTGTGTGTATGTCTGTGTGGGAACCTGCTTTGCTTAGCACTATGTATCTGTTTTCTTAAGGGGGCCTCCCGTATGGGAAGAATGCGAGTGTCCTTGACTGTCTCTGATAGTTGGCCATTGTACATAATGAAACTGTTAGGTTCGCAGGTGTGTGTGGGGAAATGGAGTGCATGCTAGTTTAGGCGGGATGCGTGAATGGACTGATTGGACAGGTCACTGGGGGACGTTGTTTGAATCATGTATAATACCAGAGCTGGCGCCAAACTAAGTAAGTTCTGACAAAGATTGTTTCTACTTGACACAACTACATATCTCAATAAACAAATCACTAGAAGAAGAGTGTTGTTGAGAGTGAGTTTGTGCAAGAGTCTGACAGTGGGAACAAAAATGTATATGTGTAGAGGGCTATAAAGCTCTCTAAGACCACAGAATAGGGGGAGCTAAAAATTCAATCAAACCAGTAAAGCGGGTAGATGTTGGCAAATTTTGTCCTTTCATTGCCCTTGCTGAAGAATCCTGAAATGGTTCTTCAGAGCTGTGCATCATTTCAGCCACAAGTCCTTTCTCATGTGCCCTATAGCACATGATACTATCAACGCAGAGCTATTGTTTCAGAAAAAGTAAAACCGAATCACTTCAAACAACCCAGGCGTGTTCCCAACAATGGAAATACTGGCAAAGTTCACAAGATGGGGGACTCATAGGCACTTTGTGTGTATCAGTGAATCTCTGGTGGATGAGGAACATACTACTACAACTCAATATACAATATCACACTGTCTTCAGCGGTCATACTTTTCATGCAACTGCATTACAGCAATAAAGGTTTGTTGAGCATGTTTGAGAAAAGCGACAGCATGACAGACATTTTGTTTACACTCCTAACTTACCACCATGCTTTTTGTGAAGCAGAGTAGCTTCACCCATCCAGGTAAAAAGAAGAAATGTTCTGGTATATTAATTATCCCTGATCATCAGTTCAATAATTCTATCATTAAGACTACTATACTACCACCATGGTATCTCTGCTTAGAAAAACAATTCAGGCATTGTAAGGAACAGGAGGAGAGAAAGCTTAATTCTCAGGAGGTTCTTCTGGTTTAGTAGTACACCAGGGCCTTGCTGATCCTTGTCTTACTTTTCACAAGTAGGGGTGGGGTGAAGATTGAAAATAGGAAAAGGTACAAATTCTAGAATCACCACGGAAAGTTGGGGACACAAAGGGCTGACTCACACTGTCAAGTTCCTGTACACAGCCAGGCACACAATGGCTTAGACAAAGATAAGTGTGCACCCGCCATGATTGTGTGCAGGCGTGACAATATAAAGAATTCCAGTGGGGTTTCTGCTGCACAGTCTTTGCCACCATTTGTTTCCACCCTTCGTTATCTAATAATATTCTTAAAGCCTCCCTGCAATGTTTAGCTCACTGCATTTATCCCCAAGTATGCCATTTAGAACAAACCAAGGTATAATTATTTTGGAAGGAAAACACAGCCCTTTTTTTTGTTGTTGTTGAAAGCATCAATTAAAAATGAGCAGGCTACTGAGGAAATGTTCGTTCTAGAAAATATGGCAGGAGCGGTGGGAGCCCTTTGCTTTTTAAAGCCTTTGCAGGGCATTTATTTGGCAGTCACAAATGGCCCCAGCTTTGGCCACACACGAGGATCGATGCCAGCCATGCAAAATCTACAGCAGTGCATGCCAAAGAGGCTGTGGGAGGCATGATCACTTGCTGAAGAAAATGACTTTTCTGAAATGAATTTGTTCCTCCCGGATAATCAATTTTTTACACTTCTCACCAGCTGTTCCCACATAGCTCAGGTAAAGGATGGCAGCAGCTGTCACACAGGACCCATACATTATACGCACATTACGTGTTTTAATCTGTCATAGATGCTTTCTATATTTGCTACCTGACACCAGGCTTATCAACAAACAGCGTGCGCACACGCGCACACAGATCTGTCATTTACAGTGCACCAGAATGTAATCTACATAATTATGTGGACTAGTTTCTGTATGTCCTGAATGAGGAAAAATATCCTCAGAACTAATTCCAAGCATCCTCCCCTCCTCAGTGGGGGTTACACAAAGAAAGGTCCTGCCATTATCAATACCCACCACAGTAGTTTCTGCCTTCAAGAAGCTACTCAAGATTGTTGTTTCTAAAACATGCTATGGAATAAACAGCAATTAAGAAGGGCATGTGGAACTGTTTACAGTGCATAATCATGCTAACAGCACACTTTATATAATCTGGGCATCCTTTCAAACAATTTCCTCCAGACATGAAATGTGAATGTGACACAGAGTGAATTTTCTTCCACAAAGCTTCTTCTTTTTTCCCCCCCCCCCCCCCCCAGGCTGTGCCAGGATTTGGGCAAATTTTTGAAGACATGGTGTACCAGGGGAGTCAGATTTTCAATGTCCACCACTTTTGCCACATGCCTGGTGCAACTTGAACACTTACACTTCAACGTTTTAATGTACCCAAACTTTTGGCAAGGTCACTTACTGCAATGTAATAAACTTTAGCCTTTTCCACCAGCTTCCAGTTCTTTTCCAGGTCAAGGTGCTTTTCCTTCTTATAACAATTAGCAGCAGCCAGGTTAGCAACAAGAGACCTATAATAACAAAAATAAAACGATAATCATCATCAACACGGCCGTCTTCCCAACAGTGAAAAAGCTCAGAGGTCTCTTGAACATCAGGATATGCAGGGCAATGCATTCAGATCACGCCAGATGGGCACCAGCTATGGCAGACAGCTGCTGTGGGACAGGTAGCCATTTATCACAGATGGCAATGGCTGCCCATCCCCAGCCTTAATGCTCTGTACTGCAATCACACTGCTTTGAGAGCAGTGTATACCAGGATGGTACCCTGCGAAAGACAAAGAGGAGCAGGACCTCTCTCTCTCTCTCTCTCTCTCTCTCTCTCTCTCTCTCTATAGAGGGCGATTCGCGAGCCTCTCTCTCTCTCTCTCTCTCTCTCTCTCTCTCTCTGTATAGTGGGACATCATCAGTACTAATCACCTTCTTGCTCTTCTAGATGAGATCTCTCACCAGGACAGATGCCTGAACGCTCAGAATGCCCTTGGAATGATGACTCGGGGATTCTGCTTCCCTTCCTCCCGCGAGCCGTTTCTGTCCATCCACGTGTCCCATAGCAGGCCTGTGCAACAGTACAATGATGCATCTGCGGACGGTGGCTGGCCACAGCACAGCACCGATATGTCAGCTGTGCTGACTTAACCTCCTGTGTCGGTTTACAAAGCCAGCTCCCACTCTATTGTGCAGGGATAAGTTGTGCGCCGCTGTGAAATTTTTTGTGCTGGCCTAACACAGATCTTCTAACAGGGTTATAAAGCTACTTTTTAGTCCATCCACACTCCCTACTCTTTTGGTGGTGGGGGGGGGGGAAAGTGCCATCAGCCCTCAGCTGACTTATGGCAACCCTGTCCCGTTTTCGAGGCAAGAGACACTGAGAGGCAATTGGCCACTGCCTGCCTCTGCGTAGCGACCCTGGACTTCCTTGGTGGTCTCCCATTCAAATACTAACCAGGGCCCACTCTGCTTAGCTTCCGAGAACTGATGAGACTGGGGTAGCCTGGGCCATCCCAATCAGGGGCCCAACTCTTTCACACCTGCCAAAAATGAACTCACGTCAATGAACAAAAGATGGGTGGGAACCTAGGACAGGGTCTTCTGGGGCAGGACACCAAAACGAACTCCGTTCCCCATGGAGATCCATCTGCCTCCCTCTGTCACTGCTTTCTGTTTTGTAATTGGCCCTCACTCCTGGTTGTGTGGCTATGTGTGCTTGTGCATTCTTTGAATTCTTCCTCCCTCTGTCATTGCTTTCTATTTTGTTATTGGCCCTTGCTCCTGGTTGTGTGGCTATGTGCTTGTGCATTTATTGAATTCTTTAAATACTTTATATATAAATTCCACATTAACAGAAAAATTCATAAAGCCAGCATATGTTATACAGTGCGATTCTGTAAAATAACTGTTGTATCCCAATTTGAGCACAAAATTCCTGTTTAGGAATATGTTCAAATATATCAATAACGCTGTATAACGCTGATGGTTCTCAATTACTCTTTTGTCAAATCCAGAATCTGTTTGTATGGGTCCAGGCTAAGCCAAAATTTGGGTGCCGGTCTTTGTAGTACGTGGCAAGGCGCTGCATGCTTTAAGTGTCTTCAAAAGGGGATCCAGACACAAGCTAAGAAATGGATCCAGACACAAGCTAAGAAATGAAAACCTCAGTTTTCAGCCAAGACAGTAAGAGGGGAAGCCCAGGTTACCTCCCATGAACCTGAGGTAAGGGAAAAGCAGGTCTACATTTTAATTCCAGTTCCAATCAAGACAAGCAGAAAATTAGGGCTAGAAAAGCATTAGTACAGAGGTCAAACTTTGTTTATATTAAAGTTTCACCTCTCCTCCCTGTCCAAGATCAAACACCCCCAAGGCACCTTCCAAATAACAGATTCAATATCATTCAAAACCACAGAGTGGCACACCAGCCTTTGAACCTTTGGCTGGTGGCAGAGGCTACGGGGGCCTTCCCCTTCCCGCTGCAGCCCCTGGGCACCTGCAACTAGAGCACAGAATGTCTCCTAGCACAAGGGGATGCACCATATGGAGAAGGTACCATGATGCTAAACCAACAGCTACAATGTGAAGGTCACGACCGGCAAGTCTGAGGGCACTCAAAAGCCAAGGAAACTCCAATTCGGTGCCATGAACAGTGAAAAGTATCTCAGCCACATTGTTCTTCCCAAGAAAACACCTGCTGTGGGATCCAAAATACCACAAACCTAGTTCGATGTGGCCAAGAGGACTTGACCTCCTCTGCTACGTGGAGGGAACTTCCGACAGCAAATTGAGCTAGAGCTGATGTTCAAAGAAACAAAACACCTCCAAAATCCAGCTACGCAGACCCAAGCTGCTGGTGTACATCTACAGTCAACTCTGGATCCCAGCTATAATTAGGCCCATGATAGGCCTCATGAAACACAGGTGCAAACTCCCCCAGGCCACACAGAAATAGGTTCCCATACCCGCCTTACTATACGCAGATGACACAGCCATTTCATCCTACTCTGAAGTAGGGCTTAGAAGAGCTCTTTTGGACAACTAACAATAAATTTCCAAAAGACCAAGATTCTAGTCTTCACCAGGAGACACGTTAAACAATGATGGCAGATCAATGGACAGAAATAGCTGTACGGCTCTTCAGTTCCCAGCCTTCACAGAACACCCCTCTGGAGAAAATACAGGCTATGATAAGCACACACATCACTGTTTTCAACAAGAGCAAAGTGCCGTTGCTGTGAGAGTTGGACTCACATGTCTCTTGAGAAACCTGTATAAGGGTCAAGAAGCGACAGTTAGAACCAGATATGGAACGACTGATTGGTTTCGCATAGGAAAAGGAGTACGACAAGGATATATATTGTCACCTTGCTTATTTAATATATATATGCAGAGTTCATCATGCGAAATGCTGGCCTGGATGAATCACAAGCGGGAATTAAGATTGCTGGGGAAAAGATCAACAACCTCAGATATGCAGACGATACCACTCTAATGGCAGAAAGTGAAGAGGACCTTAAGAGCCTTTTGCTCAGGATAAAAGAGGAGAGCGCAAAAGTGGGCTTGAAGCTCAACATCAAAAAAACTAAGATCATGGCATCTGGCCCCATCACTCCTTGGCAAATAGAAGGGGAAGTCGTGGAAGTAGTGACAGACTTCACGTTCCTGGGATCCCAGATCACCACAGACTGTGATAGCAGCCATGAAATTAAAAGACGCCTGCTCCTTGGGAAGAAAGCGATGGCGAACCTAAACAGCATGATAAAAAGTAGAGGCATCACCCTGCCAACAAAAGTCCGCATGGTCAAAGCAATGGTATTCCCAGTAGTCATGTATGGCTGTGAGAGTTGGACTATAAGGAAGGCCGAGCGCCGAAGAATAGATTCTTTTGAACTATGGTGCTGGAGAAGACTCTTGAGAGTCCCTTGGACTGCAAGAAGATCAAATCAGTCAATCCTAAAAGAAATCAACCCTGACTGTTCCCTGGAAGGCCAGATAATGAAACTGAAGCTCAAATACTTTGGCCACCCAATGAGCAGGGAGCACTCCCTGGAGGAGAAGACCCTGATGCTGGGAAAGATTGGAGGTCAAAGAAGACGGGGACGGCAAAGGATGAGATGGTTAGACAGTGTCATAGATGCAACGAACATGAAACTGAGCAAACCTCAGAGGACGGCGGAAGAACAGAAGGCCTGCCGTGATCTGGTCCATGGGGTCACGAAGAGTCGGACTCGACCGTGCGACTGAACAACAACAAAAGTGCCGTTAAAAATCTCAGATTCTGAGACCCGAACTTTTACATGCAAATGTGGTTGTTCTGCAGAAACACTATCAGTATGCCTGCTTTCACTGCAGCCTTGTGCAAGAATTTCGGCAGAGTTGTGTCTGGCAACAGAAGGTGGTTTGGGGTAACTGACTGCAAGGGCAGCAGAAAACAAATAGGAGAAAGCCCAGAAGCCACGAGGAAGAGGAGGAGGCACGGCTGAACAGGGGCAAAAACGCCCTGTCCTCTCCACACTCACAGATACGGCTTGAATGTTTTTAGGCCATAAGGACCAGAAACCCTATGGTATGTGAGTGTGAGTGAGTGTGCTTATTTTTAAACACTAAAAGGTAGGTTTCCCTGGAAAGGCGGCACAGAAACTTCTGATTTTTTTTAATTGTATTTTTTAAAAACCCTCCCTGAGTCTTGCTTCAGGTTCTAGATCCCATCTTCTGGTTTGAAACTTGTTGGAATGTTGTTGTAAATTGTTCATATTTTATTGTAACTTATTGTTTTAAATCATATTGTATTGTTTTAATCGGACATTTAGTCCCCTGTAAGCCGCCCTGAGCCTCCGGGGTAGGGCGGGGTATAAATTTAAATATAAATAAATAAATAAATAAATATGAAATTCCACACTCAGGGAAATTGAGATACTCCAGACAACAGGTCCGACTGAACCCAAGCAGATAAAACCTTCCATATTGCATATATTTGTTGTATTTTATATTTTCTGCATTGTTTTAGTGTTTTAACTTGGGCACTCGTGCCCCTTGTGAGCCGCCCTGAGCCTTCGGGGAGGGCGGGATACAAATCCAAAGATAAATAAATAAATAAATATAAAATAAAACAGGGAGGGCACAGAGCTTAAAAAAAAAAAATAGGGATCTTTTCAACAACATAGTGGCCACTTCTGCCTATTCAAGTTAATTTAACATGTAATGACCCAGCAAAGCCGAAGGGCAATAAGAAAGGGAACAGAGATGGATTCATTCTGCCAAGAGTCAAGGCAATAAATGCATAATTTACAAGTGCAAGGAACAAGGAAGTTAAGCAAAAAACAGCATTTTCTTCCAATTTTTTAAGTCAGTCCCTAGATAAACTAAATTCATTACTGGCAGTCAAACAATGAATCAGTGCCTTGGTGGAGACATGAATAAAACAGCGTTAATCCATATATCCATAAGCTTTCGGAAAGCTAGAGGTATTCTTCATGTGCTACCAAATTTCAATCTAAGCCCCATTTAACCAGTCAGGC